TGAGGCAGGAGGATTGTTTGAGCCCAGGAGTTTGAGGTTGCTGTGAGCTATGATGCCACTACTGCACCCTAGCCTGGGTGACAGAGTGAGATTCTGTCTCAAAAAAAAAAAAAAAAAAGCTGATAGGAAAAGATTTCACATCGAGTCCATTTATATCATATCCTTGAAATGACAAAATTATAGAAATGGAGAGCAGATTAATGTTGCCTCGGATTAGGAAGGAGTGGCGGGAAGGAAGCTGCCTATGGCTACAAAAGGGTAGCACAGGGATCCATGTGACGAAATTGTTCTGTATTCTGACTGTGGTGGTGGTAATATGAATTTATATATGTGGAAAAAGGCATACCTATTAGAAAGAAAGAAGTAAAATTATCATCATTTGGCTATGAAATTATATACAGTTATCCCTCTGTATCTGTGGGGATTGATTTCAGGATGCCCAAGGATACCAAAATGCTCAAGTCCCTGATATAAAATGACACAGTATTTGCATATAACCTACACACATCCTCCCATATAATTTAAATCATCTCTAGATTACTTATAATATTTAATACAATGTAAATGCTATATGTAAATAGTTGTTATACTATATTGTTTAGGGAATAATGACAAGAAAAAAAAGTTCCTACATGTTCAGTACAGAGGCAATCATGATAGGCCTAACTACATTTTTTCTTAATAGAGACAGGGTCTCTCTCTGTTGCCCAGGCAGGAGTACAGTGGCACAATCGTAGCTCACTGTAACCTTGAATTGGGGGGCTCAAGTGATCCTCCCTCAGCAGCCTCCCCAGTGCTAGGACTACAGGTACGTGCCACCGCTCTTGACTAATTTTTTTATTTTGGTAGAGATGGTGGTCTCACTATGCCCAGGCTGGTCTTCAACTCTTAGTCCTAAGCCATCCTCTAGCCTTGGCCTTAAGTTAATATTTAAGTTTAAGAAAAACAGAAAAGTACAGGAGGCTGAGGCAGGAGATCTTGAGCCCTAGAGTTTGAGCTTGCAGTGAGCTATGATGCCTCCACTGCACCCTAGTCTGGGCGACAACGTGAGACTCTGTTTCAAAAAAAAAAAAAAGAAAGAAAAACAGAAAAGTATATAATGTTATTTAAATAGCACAAAATATAAACTAAATTGTAAGTCTAAAAATAATTATCAAATTTAACACTCAACTACCTTAAAATTCAATCAAAGGCAACTTACTCTATGTCCAACACCATAGATGGATTAGATTGCTCCTTATCTTGTTCATCATTATAGAACAAAATTTTTTTGCTGCTTACCACAACATACTGAAATGAGAAAAAAGGGGGAAGAGATACAAAAGCAACATTAACTTGGTTTGAAGTGATAAGCATAATATTTGCCATTTATGTTTAGATTATACTGTATTAACCTAAAATCAATGCTCATAGAAAAGCAGTTAATAATATAATTTGTGTGTTTTGAAGTAAAATATATAACAAAATATCAGTTAGAAAAAAATTAGGCATATGGTACCTGCTTTTTCCAGCCATATCGTTTGATATTTCCTCTGTTTGGTACAGAAAGCCAACCTTCAATTCTTGACTCTAGGAGAAAAGAATATATCATAGTTAGTCTTAAATTGTAACAACAGGAAAAACTACTACAAGTTGTCTGACAGCATGCAGCAACAAGCAATTGAACACAAATGAAAAAGTGCTATAATTTGCTCTTCCATGCTTCAATCACACAAATAAACTTTATGGCCATACAAATATTGCAGAAAAAAACTCCAAGCCACTTTTCCCATAAAATTAACATTTAGTGCTCAATTACGAAAGTATGAAGTAACAATACCCTTAAGAGCCAGGCAAGACTGGAATGGATTGCAGCTTAAATGGGATATGTATGACACAGAGGACTTTAAATATCATTTAACATTCATATAAAAATGCTCAGCAAAAAGAAAAGAAAATATTATGCAGCAAGTGGAACAAATCAGAGCCATGATTTACACAAGAAAGAGCAAGCAAAAGTACAGAAGTGTCCTATTACTCACAGAAGACAATAATAGAAGATAAATAAATAAGGAATGCAGGCAGAATCAACTAGATATAGAGAATAAGAGACAAGCATTTTATTTGTTTTCTCAGTACAACATTTTGATAAACTTTTTGGTAAAATATTCGTAACAATTTTAATAAAGTTGTCCAAATTTTGTTAGGGGGGCACTTAATTCTAGTGGTAAGTCTAATTACAATTCTTCTCAAACTGAAGTGGAATAAAGCCTTTTAAGTTTATAAAACTTTAATTTAATAAACAGTAAAAGAACACAGAATTAAGCTGGTCAACTGGTAATATCTCAACTAGTTTGTGCATACCAGAAATTCCTTGACTATTTTGATCAAGACATTTTATAACAATTATCATTACTATTTAAGTATAACTAATGTTTATTAGAAACTTTATCTGTAGGGGATAGAGATGACTATACTAGAAATGGTTATTATATATCAGGTTGGAGATAAGAAAATTCATTCAATTTAAGTGTTTTCTATATCTTACTGTATTTGAAACAAAAGAATAGAAGAGTAATTTTAAAGGATGATGCTATAATGTGACAGATTATACTATGGTTCAAATCATGATTAGTGGGAATATGTATTGTTCCTCTTCACATAATTTAAAAGCTATAAAGCTTAGTCTTACAGTAATAGTAACAGGTAACATTTAGTGAACATTTATTATTTGCCAACTGCTTGACATGTCTTATCTCCTATTTAACTTATGTATAATCCCACTAATACAGGATATTATATCCCTAGGAATATAGGATAGGTTCTATCATGAAGAGACTGAGGCTTAGCAAAGTGAACTAACTTGTGCAAAGGCTACTCTGTCAGTATCTGTGAAAGCTCCAGGGTTCAAAGTCGGGTATTCTAATTTTTAAGCTTATGCTTCTATAGCTAAAGACTGTTCTGTCTCCAAACAATCTTTGCAGTTAATTGAATTGGGGTAATATTTGTTTTTGTTTTTTTTCTATTTCTACCATGTACTTAAAGTCTCCACACCTTTGTTTATGTTATTCCCCATCACATATTGTTAGCTGTTAAAAGACAGGAAATAATGAGGTAACTTCAGTCCAAAATGGCCCTTTTCTTCTCTCAACATTTTTCTTAATTGCTGCTATTTAGTTTATGAAATAATTATTTTGGTTCCTTAGGTAGTTCTTTGGTAAGTTTTGTTAGAGCAGGGACCATATTCTCACACTTGTTTTATATACCTGATGGCAACTGACACGCAGATGAGTTACTTGACAGATATGTGGATTATTTCGCAATTCAGGCAGATTTATATTAAATAGCATGCAGAAGGCTGCTGATCATATATTGATCATTCAAATATTTTAGCTTACAAAACCAAAAAAGTTATTGCTAGGAAATTTTCCCATTACTGTGGAAGAAACTGCAGCTCTTGTTTTAAAGTATGGTTTGGAAAACATAAAGATGAACAATGTTTACAATAAAAATTATTCAATATCTGATGATACAAGGCTGTTTAATATCAGTAATTCCTCATTGAAAACAAAAGATATGAAAGCCTTTGAAATCCTGACATTTACACAAAATTGTGTATGCCAAAATACCCTACCGCCACAGTTATTTTTTTTGTCAGAATTATGAAAACATTCACGGTTTTCTGGCTCTAGGTTTGGGTTAACCTGCCAGTATTTTCTTGTTTTCAGTAAGTTGTTGCATGTTATGACTTTATCTGTCATTTCAATGTTCCTTTAGAAATTTTATATATCAAGGGCATTTTATGAATCAAATAAGCCCAACTTTTATATTTGCTTATATTTAAATTAAATGAAGAAATATGGAACTCAAATAAAGGTGTTGAGGATATGTGAAGGTTTTTGCCAATTTAAAACTATAATGTTATGGGAAAGCATCTTAAGTTTTTCCTTCTGTTGAATTCCCTCAGAAAAGCAACTGAACTAAGCTCAGTGTTAACAAATTAAAAAATACGTACTAACTTCTCCTCTGTTTCCTTACTCCTACCTTAGATACAAGTTAATATACTTAACCAGTTTTTTAAACACAAAGACCTCCTCTAAAATCAGGACTACTTGTGACTTAAGTGGCCATCTGAAGGTATAACACTGTAAATTCCATCTTTCACATTGCAAACAAAGAAATCATCTTCTCCAGATAAGTAAATGAAACTCATGCTGAGAACTTCTAAGTCTAGATTATCATTAATATGCTAAAGAAGTACAAAAACTTGGCTCCAAATTTTATACATTTGTAAAGCAATTTGAACTTACAAAAAATTAGATGTATATTATTGCAATATTAGCAATTAATTTCTTTTACTCAAATAAGAGTCAGACAGCCTAATTATAGTAAATCAATATTCAATACAGCCAGTTTAAACATCAAAGCTAACCTCTGAAGACTACTGAAGTTTACGTGCATAAACCACATACTGCTTAAGAAAGAGGTAGAGAACCATTTCAAAATATTTTAATTAACTTCAAAAGTGATATAAAAAAGAAAGTTCAGATGTGTTATCTTCAAATCACTGGTTAGATTTGGAAAAAGTTAAAAACTCCCATATACTCAAATATTTGGAAACATACCAAGAAATCTACTATTTTCAGGTTTAATTTACATAGCCTGAGACCAAGCTGGATGGAAAAGAGAATAATGCAGGATAATTCATAAGAGATAATGAATACTGATCAAGTGGTAATACCAAGTGTTTTCCCTAATGCTTCATCTACTTGCACATTCTCTCCAGATATCTAGGCTCAACAGTTTCAAAAGAAGAAAAGAGAAAGAATGAGGAAAAGCTACAGTTATCATATTAAAGATTTTTGTCATCCGGGCAACAGGCAATGCATAATCCTAAGAGTAATCGCTAAATTTATACAGTGTGCTAGGCCATAACCTGCCACAGAACCAAAGGGAGGATAAAGACATAAAAGAATTAAGAGAAAGAAAGTGACTTTAAGAATGATAAGTCAGAGAAGGAGTAACTTTTTTAAATAAGATTTTTAGAATTGGGAAATTTAAAGGAGAGAATCTAGTTAATGACAAGATACCCACCGACATTTATAGAGGCAGAACTTTAGATGTGTGAGATAATTAGAATCTTTATACTAACTGATGCGTCAAATAGAAATATTAAAAGTCACAGTATCCACTCATCCAACTGCTTAAAAAAACCATTTCATTAAACTAAAAATGATGATATTTCAAAATCCATTTTTTAACTGTTGAGTAAACTTAATCTATTCAAAGTCCTCCCCTTTTTTAGTCTGTAAATTTATTTACTATTTTTCTAAACTTAAGTAAAAATTAATCATTAAAATTACCTTCAAGAAATCTTTCAGACACTTGGAATCACAGATACATAACTCTAATACTGAGTATCAAAATTCTTCAACAATTCCACCTAGATATGGCTACAAAACCTTAACTTTATTTGCCAGGGACCATTTTTGAGCATCTATTAAATGGTGGCTGTAGTACAGATTTTCAATTTACTAGCAAAATATCTGAGAGAGAGGTAAGTAATACTGATAAAGATTATCCATTAATTTTTACTTCCAGAAAGTCAAGGTTCAGCACTGTCAAGATTTTATAAAGTTTCAAGACTGAGAACACAGTAATAGGAAAAGAGATACCTAACTGGCCTCATTGTATAGCAGTGGAGAATTCTTTCTCATTTGGTTTGGACTTTAAAATCTTAAAAAACAAAATCTCTGAAAGTACACTAATATTCTAAGTACTACACAGAATGGAGCCAGTAGAAATATTTTTAAATCTCTTTGAAAATGATTCCTAAGTCAATTTATTAGGTCAGGATTCTAAAATCTAAATGGATTCCTAATCTAAGTCTGCCAGTCAAACCTTCTAATGATCCTATGAGTTTAGCCTTCCTGAATAAGCCAGGATGGAGGATAAAACTCATCACCTTCTTCTTTGCTAGAGGTCCCACCAACTCATTTTTTAATTCGGTCTTCTAAATACTATTCACCAGTAAGTATCAGTCTCTGAAATATTTAACCCAATGCAAAGAAAAGCAACATTATAAACAAAGTTAAAGGGAAAAGGGTGAAATAAAGAAGAAGAAAAAAAAATTCAGGTCAACATTTTTAACTGACACTAAATACAGCAAAAACTCCCTTTACTAAATAACTCCAGAAGTATCTTGGGGCTAAAGAAGTGGGAATCTAAACTACAATTTCAGTTCAACAATTGAAAGAATGTAGCCAAACACCTCAAAAGTCATATTCTTACAGATGATTAAGTCTAACTTTAGAAAGATGTTTAAACAACAGCTGAAGCTAGAGGTTCTTGTTAATTCCAAAGTGATCCTCCAATAATGAATCATGTGTGTACCTACAAGTTTCTCAAGAGGCAGGCAGTCTCAGAGAGCCAAAAATAGGAAAACAGAAACAATTCCTTGGCTATTAGAATAGGAAATATTCCTTCCCTGTCCTTCCCTTCCCAGATAGAAGATTTTGGGCTAGCAAAGCCACAAAAGAATGAGGGCAGGGATCACATGGTATAAAAATAGGAGCTGAATTCATTTTCCA